GCCCAGCAGGGCGCAGGGCAGAGCCTCAGTGAGGAACTCTTGCTCAATCTTGACAGCATCTACGATGATGTCCTCAATCAGCTTCTTGTCAGGGCGGTTCTTGAGGTGAGAGAACAGCAGGCAGGCAAAATCGGTGTGCAGACCCTCATCACGAGAGATAAGCTCGTTGGAGAACGTCAAGCCAGGCATCAAACCACGCTTCTTCAGCCAGAAGATGGAGGCGAAGGCTCCGCTGAAGAAGATACCTTCAACGGCAGCAAAGGCAACCAGGCGCTGGGCGAAGGTGGACTTCTTGTCGGTGATCCATCTCAGAGCCCAGTCGGCCTTCTTGCGGATGGCGGGAACTAGAAAGCTGTTAGAGACGGGGAGGGTCTCAGTTGAGAAATCTGGGCAGTGGAAACTTACTGGTGTCGATGGCATTGAACAAGTGAGTTCGCTGAGCAGGCTCCTTGACGTAACTGTCAATGAGCAGGGAGTAGGTCTCGGAGTGGATGTTCTCCATCATGATCTGGAAACCGTAGAAGCAGCGAGCCTCGGGGATCTGGACCTCGCCGCTGAATCGCTCGACAAGGTTCTCGTTGACGATACCGTCAGAAGCAGCGAAGAAAGCCAGAATGTGAGAGATGAAATACTTCTCATCCTCATTGATTCTGTTGTTCCAGTCGTGCAAGTCCTTGGACAGGTCAATCTCCTCAGCAGTCCAGAAGGAAGCCTCGGCCTTCTTGTACATTTGCCAGATCTAAGCAATGGGAGAATATGTCAGCTTTACGGTAATATTTGAACCACTTTACGCGTCATAAACGCGTCACATCGCGTTGAACTAACCTCGTGGTACTTGATGGGGAACAGCACGAAGCGCTGAGGGTTCTCCTGCAGGAGGGGCTCATCAAGCTCCTCATTCTTGGAAGCCACAGCGCTCTTCTCCTCCTCCTTAGCCTCCATAGAGGGCTTCTGTGACACGATCTCATCGGCAACAATAGCAGCGTCGGCGTCGAAGGGAGTGTTCTCCTTTCCAGAGAAGTCGAGCTTCTTGATGGGGGACTCCATCTTCAATGCCTCGATGGCAGACGCGGCCTGTAGTTGGGGAGAAATTAGCTTTCTGCCTACGTAGATGTGATGTCAAGTTGCGCGCTAAGAGCGGGCGAGGTCATGTTACCTTCTTGGAGGGAGTGATCTCGGTTGCCATTGCGTTTGGGATGTGTGTGTATGTGGGGTAGAGAGGGTATCAAGGGGAATTGCGGAAGACGTGAGGAGTGTGAATGGCAATTGCGTTCACGAAGAATCACTTGCTCAGAGGAATTGTCGCGTCTGGTCGGAGGACAGTTGGACGAGTTGGGTTGAGATGAGTGCAGGCAGGAATCTTTTCTTGTAGCGTGTTGTCCGGCCCTTTTAAGTTCTGGACGCGAAAATCACGTGGATCCGCCGAAGACGCGATTCCCTGCCAAAAACCTCTTTGTGGCCCAGGACGCGCGACTGAGACACGGGCCCCGCCACTGGACTTTCACGCGTCTGGGTTGTGTTGCGTTGCGGGCGGCCAGGGGGGTTCAAGCTCCGCTAAAGCTCCCTTGTCAGCATTGCCCTGGCTTGACCACCCCACCAACCTTGCCCTATTCGCTCTCGCGGTGCAGCTGGAACCTGGCGCTGCCTCTACCTCGTTCCCTCTCCAAACCGCTCGGGCGATTCAGCTACGTAAAAAGTAAGGGCAGGGGTGGAGCGGTTCCAGCGCGAATCAAGATTATCATACCATCTTGATCAGATAAACAATTCTCAGCTTCGGCTCCACGGCAGCTGTGAGAGCTCGGAATTACGGGTTTACGGAATACGGGGCTGCTTCTCGCTTCATCAGGTGCTGATTCTCTTGTTATCTTGATTATTGATGATGATGAGAGTGTGGGGTGTTTCTTAGTGAGTCACCAAGCTGCCTAGTGGACTTATTACCAAGCTCTAAGGAGCTCATCTGTGCTTTACGTACGGAGAACAGATCCGCCGGCACCTGGAATATTTTTAGTATGCTCCCAAGACGCGAGCATATCTGTCACGACGCGTCTGTGCTATGATGACGATGTGAAATATCCCATTGTGTTTGCTTCTGAATTGTAAACCCTGTGTTGCTTTAGAAAAATATCACAGCTTGAACACACAAGTTGTGGAGTTTAGGGTTCTACAGCACTTGGTTCATAGAAGATGCATTTGAATCTCGCTTGCCCTTCACGACGCACATCACACAGCGCATAGCGGCAATGCCGGTAATGATAAGTCAATCTATGTATTTGGTTTGGTCATTGTAAATGAGTACTACTCTCGCTCGCTTATGGGTATCACTACAACCCTCCTCTGCGTTTATAAGCCCGTTATCGTGTCAACTACCAGGTACCCATGCTTCTATCGGTAAGACAGCGTTCCCAAGATTGCCGAAACCATCCATACGCGCCAACAAATACATACCACAAGTTCGCATTGCCACGATACGAGAAAAAAAAAATTGAAAGAGATCTGAGCACAATATTCCTACGCTACCGTCGACCGACCGAATACAGCCCACCGGTGGGAGTCTTTGTGGAGATATGAAGCTTCAACCTCTACGACCTCGTCCCTCTTCTAGGTCCAGGGGGGCCGTACCGGCAATTTACTTGCCTCGCTGATTCTTTTCGATGACACGGCCGCCTCTGCCCGCCTCGACGTCCACCGGTCGGCTCTTCTTGCTGCTTCCTAGACCGAAAAACCCACCACCGGTGCGACGCTCATCGTGTACGCGTGCCTGGCCTGGACGAGCCGGAAGTGGGGGCTCCACGACGCCCGACGATTGGGGCCGGTGGCCATCCGGAGAACGCACGTCGTCCGTGAATGTTCTCTCCTGAAACCGGTCGAACTCGACAGGATCGCTGGGGTCGACCTGGGGAACCGGCGCCCCACTCTGCCGGAGGTTCTTCTTGCCCTTGGCGCGCAGATAGTCTTCCAGAATAATAGCATTTCGTGCGTTCGCCTTGATGGCCGCGTCAACAAGGTCACCCACGAAGGGAGCAAAGCCTATAACGAGGTCGATTAGGACCCAGAAGTACATGTGCATCAGGACGGAGCCTGGCAGTCCTCCTTCCACCTGTTTGGCAGTTTCGACAACCATCAAAGCCAAGAGACAATCTGCAAAATCTCCAACACTATGACAATCAATCATCCTCAAAATTAGCAATCGGTAATATCGTAGCGGCCGCGAGGGTGAGTGTACAGGGAAGAACTTACAAAGGAAAGAGGCCGATGACGCTGCTCCAACCAAATCGGATCCCCATGAAATTAAACAAACTCATGTCGAGCCTGTATGCCCTTCTCTTAACCTTGGTCAGGACCTCTGCATCATGCTGAGAAAGCCCTGGGGGCAACGCCCGCCTTTGCTTCTTAGTCTTTTTGCTGGGTTTGCCATCAAGTCTTGTGGCAGGGACGTATTCGAATACCGGGTCCTGCAAGTTTTGTTAGCACCGCAAACTGCCTTTGCATTGAAAGTTGTAAACCAGATTGAACTTACCTTGGCGCCAAATTTGTTGTCAAGCGTCTCACCCAACAGCTTCGAGGTGATTTTCTTTGTGATATAGCTCGTCATTTTTGCAACCCTGCAGGATGAGACAAGACTCTCTTAACAGGGCGATTGTAGGCTGTAAATTAGTTAAGGTCAAAGGAGTTGACCACTGCTTTGAATTCAATTGATGTTTCTACGGCGAGACCAATCTCTCTGCCGTCCAAGGAGACGTGTCCCAACTTCTTGGCAGTTTCGTAGTGTTTGCCCTTTTGTGACCTGTTGGTCGTGGTCCGAGTCCCTGGGACGTGCTTAAGTGCGTCGACAACTGGCGTCAGGAATGGAGACGGGAAAATGAAGAGAAGAAGAGAAGGCAGGACAATTGCGTAGGAGTTCTAAATCAAGAATGGGTATTATATGGATGTCAATGACGACTTGGTACACCACTGGCATTCAACCCAAAAAAGCCGGCGACCCATATTAAGCATGTTTACTTGGCTTTCAAGTTTTCGCATGATTAGCCTTGAAACGCCAGGCCTCCCACCCAACGGATGATGATGTCAGGCTAGTAGGAGAGGTTGCGCAGCGTTAACCAAGCGCGGAACTCTAACGTGGGGCCGGGTGAGTGTGGCTAGAGACCCGATTACGTAGCGTGGCGTTGTGGCGGTGCATATGCTCTAGAGCTGTCTGGACACGCCAGTGAGAGGTGCATGGTACTCTCAATTTGGGAGCGGGCCGCACCCTTGGTCGATGTCAGGTTGCCTTAGCCGAGCAAGCGACCACAGGAATTAACAGACACTGGCACTGGATCTTCTCTCAAACCTGGAATTGACTTGTTATTTTGCACAGCCTCATTCTAATTGCTTCTCAGCGAAATGAGATTTCACTAATGCCGAAATATTTCTCCAGAACGTTCCACTGACCATCGCCCATCCTAGCTCCCTCGGAGACTGGTTAGAGTAGTGGCTAATTCATAGAAAATTGCCACCGGCGACCTTCTGCATCGCTGGTGAAAGGAAATGAAGGCACATGGGATGGAATTTGACGGTAACCTATACTCTATTGTGCGAAGTAAAAGTACGAAGACACATATCTATTGTCTAATTTACATAGGATCGAGCGTGTTTGTATGCTCTGGCTATATATCTCTTCCCCAAGAATCGCAAGCTTGTATACTCCCCATGGATCTTTAAACAGCTGGTAGATTAAACCTAAATCAGAACCAGCAGGAACCAGGAGCCACCAATAGTCCCAACTCTGTTTTCATGCGGGCGCGTTCCACCCTTCCTATGTGACCTTAACTATATCTCAAGTTACACAAGGCAGCGCACGACGTTCTGTTAGGTAATCTTATGTCCCACAAGTCAGTAGACCCGCACCCACATAGTTTAGCTTGAAAAAAAAAAAAGAGGATTCCCCGAGATTGGTGCGACACGAGGCCCCGCCCCCCAAGGACTATTAGAGCAAATTAAGCAGCGAACCGTCAACAAGCAGCAGTTGCGTGTTCTAATGGTTATGATTTCTCGTTCACAGCGATGTGTACTATCTCCGAGAAGGTTCTGGGTTCGATCCCCAGCGCGACTATTCTTTTTGCATTTTTTGACACCTGGACAGACTTCAGCATCTGTTGTTTCTGGAGGGTAATTGTAATTCTGGAATACTCTTTTTGCGTTGTTTTGTTTTAATTTATTTATTTAAATTATTATCTGCATGGATATTCCCTCGCATTTTGAACTTGCGTCGTGGGAGTATGTGAGCCTGCTTCCTAACTATACAACTACCCTCCTCGCTGATACATGCATGGCCTTTTGTTATTTGACTATTATCGATACGTTGTACCAATAACACAACATTGACGTTTCTGGTTTTCAGCTAGTTAAAGCAAGTTTGTACGTTACAACAATCCACCCCCACCGGCTTTATACGAAAAGTAACTCCTCTTGCAACACGGTACCAATATTTGTACCGCACGTATATATATAGTATAAAGAACAATCCCGTCGAGGGAAGCGATTCCACATCTATGCTGTTTCCGCAACTCCACTTACGCCTAAATACCTTAACGGTCCACCTCCTCAAACAAAAAGAGAAAAAAAAGCAAGCCCTCCGTCCCATATGTGCCAAGCTCTAAAAAAAAATACAGACCTTCTATATATTGAAGTCAATTCGCTTTTCAAGCACAACTTATCCAACACTTTCCCCAAGCTGCAGTAGAGTTGAACCTGGCAACTTTTAGCCCAAGTTTTTCTATGCAAGCTACCACTTCCCCCATGGCGGGAGAATGATCGTTAGCTATCAGAAAGACTGTCTTCTGCTTAGCAACATGTTTACTGTACGAATACAGGCTATGCCTCTGACATCATGCGCCTTGGTTGCCACTTTTCATGGCTGATGTCCTCGCTACCTGGCTCTGAAGCTCTTCTTGCCCAAGGTCCAATGTTTGGATGGTTCGAAGCCTCAGCTTTCGCAAAAGAGTGTTGCGTTACCAACGGGTAGGCTGGTCCCGGATGGAGGAACTGAGCCAATACATTTCGGCGGTCCACGCTTCGACTGCGACCTCTCCTCAAGCTTGCAGGGCGTGCTCCAGGTACAAGAGAGACAGCAGACTGGCGCCGCTGAAGTCTCGCCTCTGCTGCTTCGGCTTCCTTGCGATTGAGGGACTCGCTAGGCAAAAGGATAGCTCGATCTAATCCGTATGGTAGACCACGATGCCGACCGCGAATCATCATTGCGATGATGACAAGCTTTCCGACAACCGTGAACTGCGAGCTCAGCGAGGCATTGATTCCCGTGTATCCTAGACTAAGACCGACGGTACCGTATGCACTGACAATTTCGAACAAAACCGAAAACATGGAGAAATCGCCCGCTTGAAGGCGTGACCCTTCAGAAATGGTCAGAATAAAATAACCAATGAAGATGTACCACAAGTCGAACGATAGCTGGCGCCGCAAATGCGCTCCAACGTATGAAAATCCGTTCTCGCTGCGCTCATCAACATCCTGTGCGGAGGTATATAGTCCAAGTGATTTTTCCTCGTAAACGTTTGTTCGTCGAACCGAAATGGCGATCGGAAAGACCGAGATGTACATCATAATAAGGTAGGATGTTTGCACGGCGGGATGCAGATCAGCCAGATTCACGCATGAGAACCCAGCAGTTCTTGTTGAGGCAGCCTGAAACCATCCATCGAGGAAACGAATATCAAGCGGCAAGGAGCCAATAGCGCCGCTGCCAAGGTCCAGAATGATGAAGAAGATCAGATCAACTCCATTCAGAATAACGAGGATGAAGAATAGCCACCACGTGGCCGTTGAGGGGAATAACAAGGTGAAACAGCGACGAGGGTGATCAAGGAGAAAACGCAATTCCTCCCAGAGGCCAGAGCCCCTAGGAACAAACAGGTGCGCGAACCAAATGCAGAATCGAAGCATGATTGGAAAACCCGTGTTTCCAATGATGATCAGAAAGGACATAACCAACAGTGGGAATCTTGCAGTGTTGAATGAGTTCATACTATCCGGCGTCAGTGTGAAGCCCAGATCCGTAAATGCCGAGTTCGACGTGAAGAACGCCCACCATGGTCGGTTCTGTCCTGCGCTGTCGACAATAGAGCCCCACTGGCTATTGTTCACAATAATCCACGGCAAGAGACATGCGATGCCAAAAAGCCAAAAACCCCAGAAGTAGCAAGTTGTGACAACAGCTAGTGTTTTAAGGGATCGATATTCGATGCCACCGAGCTCTTCCCTCTGTTCCACAGTCAGATCCAAGAACTCAGAATTTCTACCCAGGGTTGGCTGCCAGCTGAGGTAAGGCATTGGGTCTTGGTCTTTATGCTGCGATAATGCAGTCCTGATTCGGTGTAATGGATTTATGTTGGGTTGCGGTTCGGTGTACGTGTCAGCTTGTTGCAATTTCTCTCCGACACCTCGCGGTTTGCGAAACTTCAAAGCCCCCGAGGCATTGTTTGCCCCCTGGAGGTCGTCAGACATCTCTGCCCGCTTAGGGTGAGTAGGTTCTGCAATTGTGATTGTTTGAGGTCGATCCTGATTATCGTGTAGGGATGACCGTCCACCAGGGGACATTGGACGGAAGGATCCAACGGTGGATTCTCGACGCCTACGCTCATTTGGGCTGTGTACATCACCATTGGGGTCGTTGCTATCATCCAGCTCCTCAGGCAATACACCTCTCTCAGCATCCCTCGGGCCAGGAATACGGAGAGTACCCTTGTCCTCCTGTCGTTGTCTCTCAAGAATTGCTATGTGTTCAGCATCCGTCCTCCTCTGGGGAAGTGGCATGGCCTCATCCTCATCCTCGCCGCCATCAAGAGCATCGCTCCTCTTCACCTGATCGGAGAACTTAATTTGGGGGTCGCGTGGCGAAACTGGAGGTTCAGCAGCGAGGTCGGTGTGAACCGGGCTAAGTTTGACTCCTCCATTCATGTTATAGCCGTCAAGCAAGATCCCATCATTTGTCATCCGAGAAGTCTGGGCTGTATTGTGCATAACCGTGATATGTCTCCCACCAACTCCTCTCTCCACATCAGCAGCATTATGTTTCACCTTGGATCGTGTTTTGGTTAGCGTTGCACGCTTCGATCTTGCGTCTCGGACAATGCCCTGGAATCGCTTCTCAAACCAGTAGAGACGTAAGAACACGACCGCCGAGTTGATAGTGATGGGGTTAGATGTCATGGCACATAACATCATAACCACTTGCTGGAATGTGGTAAGCAGGTTAAGATCGACAGTGTTTAACCCAGCCTGAGTGTTGGCACCACTGGCAAAGAATAGCGCATCTATATAAGATATATTTCCTTTGCCGGGCGCGTAGATAAGAACTGAACCAAGGATGGTCATTCCGATGATTATGAAATAATGCACCGTAATGAAGTTAAAGTGAGGGTTCTTTGAGAGGAACGAGGGCCGGAGTGCCTGCAGGGCTTTCCCGGCAGCCAAACCCAGCTCGTGAAAATCCATGGTGAGTAGTAGGTCAAGGTGCAGATATCAACTCAAAAATTTCAGGCAGCGCGGCGAAGAAAATAAAAGCCCGGGTCAGGAAGTGCCAAGCTTATGGTCATGCGCTTGAGAATATGTGTAAGAAGCGAAGTCGCCAAGCATGATAGCCTTCCTAGAGTGCGGCTGTGCTAATGTCAACAGATATCCAGTGGAGGTAACATGTCAGGTTCAAATCATGAATACATCGGATAAGGGAGCGGGAATGGGCGAGCATGGTTCGTAAAAGGAACTACCTGCATCACTTGATAGAGGACTCAACCAGTATGGCTTTAGGAGAATGTGATATCAACTCTTTGCAACACCACGGGGATGCATATCTCCATAGTTAGTGGATGCCAGTGCTCACGAGATATTCTGACCGATAATCGTGGCAGACAGTGGGCATTGACGATCCCAATGCACGAGAGCACTCATGTAGGGGGTACAAAGAAATTGAGAACAGGCAATGGAGAGGCAATGCAAAAGGTTATGAGAAAAAAAAAACACAAAGTCCGCATGTCGCCACCTACCTCGAGAAACGAGAGCCGGCGGTCAGGCAAAATTTTCTGCTGCCGAGACAAGGTTGGCTGATGCCAATGTGCATCAATAGGGCAGCAAGTGCGTCTCGGTCAGCGGTGATCAACAGGATGCGATGGGATAGGATAGAAATAAATCCTGGAGTGAAGCCGGATATCACGTCGCGCAGCTGGCGCAAGGTCCTCCGGCTGGCACAACGCTAGGAAACCTCGAAGACCCTGACTCGATGAGCCCAATCGAGGACCGACGAGATTCTCGTCCCGTGGCGTCGTTACAGTTGCTTCAACTTGTCGAGCATTTCGGCACAGATCCCTCGGCAGAAAGGTACAGCAGGGGCGGCGAGTAGTGGAAGAGAGAAAAGATCCCGGCCGAATCAGTAGAAAAGGAGTGTTTGCCGGCAAGGACCCAGGATTGCAAGCTGGGTACTCACAGAGCTGGGTCCGGTAGAAAAAGCTTGGCAGGCTAGAGAATGTTCCTGCCTTAAGACGTTTGACCCAAAAGACTAAAAGATAAAACCAGCGTTCGAATCACTAAAACGCCCAATCGTCGGGAGCGCAATGGGTAAAAAAGCTTGTGCCACAGAACTGGTCAGCAGCAGCAGCAGTACTGTGTGGTGTTGAAACCGCGGAGAGGGCTGAACAATGATCCCTTCACGGAGATTAGCTCTGTATTTCGTCGAACCTCTCATTTCTTTGTTTTTCGTCATCAATGTGATGTGGGGATTGGCCACGGGCACTCGTCGAATCCAATGGCGCTAAAATAGCCTTGCGAAGCGTGGGCAATGCCAAGTGGTTGTATGGGTCTAGAACCCGGAAGCTTTCTGGCGGCACCGGTGGTGGTTGCGAACAGTGCCCACCTGGGTAACTTTGCAGGGGATGATGTACCTAACCATGCTCACTAATAACATGTACATGATCAATCCCACGTTCCAGAGCAGCACCAGTACGTACTTGCTTACATGCGAATGTACGTACACGACCTGTCCAAAACACCATTGAGGGGTCAATTAAGAATGGGGTGGGGAGGGGGGAAGATATTGTATAT